TGGATGGTCCCAACCAAATTCAAAATTATTTAAGCCAATACCCCCTTGGACTCAACAAACTTGCCGGCATGGTTTTGGCAAAATATGGTGCCCATTTTCGTATATCATTTAAATAAGACATCTATTTTTAGGCTTGCTTTTTCTGTAAAGAAAACAAAAGCCTTTAGACACTGAAAATATAGATTTTGAGAGAAAGTCTAAAAAAATATGAAATAATAAAATAAACCAAATTATGATATCTTCCAATTATTATTATTATTTAAAAAAAAAAATAGCAATTGATGAGATGAGTTTGTCATTCGGCTTAGAACCCAAATTATTCCTAATTATTGATAATTAAATGATTAGAATTGGAACAATAACGGGAAGAAATATAAAAAGCAATAATTCGGGAAAAGGGGATTTAGTAAGCAAATGATTGATGGGTATTATCCAAAATGAGTTAATATGGATCTGGTTTTGGGAGTAAGAGACATTGATGCAGAAGGGCATGTGTGCTTGGGTTTGTTCTTAGTTGAAAGATCTAAAATTTAAACATTTCAAGTTGAAGAATCACTCACTATGAGCGACTGTTGTTCTCAATGGATTACAAAATGTGCGTATTTTCCACATACAAGAATTACGTATAATCTTAATGTTAACAAAGGATATGATATGAGCGTGGATGTTAAGAACAAAGTGATGATTATGAGTTGATGTCGATGATTTGGAAAGGAGTGTGGAAAATACGTAATCAGCATCAGCGATTATTCGCTCCAAATCTTACGGTGGACGGACCGATCGAGTCGCCACTCAGAGCCCACTTGCGAGTTGCCACGATTTGGATTCTCCCGTCTCTATCAATTTCATACTCCTTCCTTCGATTCGGATTTGTCAAGAAGTCACTGCCTTCATGGGAAGGACTGCATTTTTCTTGAGTCATTCTACGACTGTGGCTTTCATCTGGTTCACCTCTGCCGCCCTCTTCTTCTTTCTTTTCCAGATGGCTCTCCACAACTCTACTTCCGCTTCTTCTTCTTCTTCAGGTATTCATTCCTTTCCTTCCTCTCCTCGTTTGTTTTCTCTGTTCTCCGTCCACTTTCAGGAAAATCTAGGGTTTGTATGGGAAAATGAATGAATCTGGCAATCGCGATTTGGGCATTTAGCTTTCAATTAATTTTATGTTACGAATCGAGTGAGAATTCGATCGAATCAATTATAAGAACTGTCACGAGCGTTGTAATCAAGCAAATCTTATATATTATTGTTTCCTCATCTTCTGGAATAATTACCATCGTAATGCGTATTTGATTAAGACTTCCTTTTAATCTGGATCGCATGGTGAAGAAAATTATAGCATTGTATTATGAAATTAAGCGTGCCACTTTGTTGAAACTTCCATCAGATTCTTTGATTTCAAATTCTGAGTTAAGATCAAGATTGTACGACAAGATGGCGATGGATTTGGATGAGAAAGGGGCACTTTTCCTTAAGGACGGCGAAACATCTCAGTCTTTATCACTTTCTGATATCTTCACCGTTAAGGATGGATCAGTCACTCCAATATTGAAGGCAAGCTTTTCCTACAAGAAATTCTATTTAAAATTTTATCTCTCTTTCCACATTTGCTTCAAGTGATGCCATTTTCATCTATGCAGCCAGCAAATCCTCCTGTTCGTGCTAACGTTTTGTATCTAAGCACAGAGTACTCTGTTCCCATATCGTAAGTATTGTATTGTTTTACATGTTTAGCATAGCCTCGCAAATTATCCATTCTTGAAATCTTCATGTTCCTCTTCGGTTATGCCTATTAATAAACATTTTTGTTGTTGCAGTGAGGCGGTAAAATCTATATTCAATCCTTATTTTGATAAAGGTATGCTTTGTTTGTTCATTTTCATTTCTAGTCTGTAGTTTATTTCCTATCTTCAATATAAATATGTTTCTACACAGAAATGATTGCATGATCGGCATTTTTTTAATATGGTATCATTCCTTAACATAGACTCCCCTGTACTTTGTCTAGCAATTTGGTTCCAGAACTCTAGCTTGTACCATTTTAGCATGTTTCACGCATCGCATCATATTACACCGGTTCCTGCTACTGAAGACGAGGCAAGTTGTCTTCTTTATATGTTATTGTTTATCTTTGAAAACCTTCTTTTGTGTATAACTTTTCTACATATCGTTTGTTTGGCAGATCGAAGCTGAAGCAGCTGCTGTGATGTCTGCAACAGAGCATATGTGCCGATTGAAAATAGTTCTAGACAGGGTTATTTTAACTTCAACAGGCGTTCTTCTTGGATGTTGGCAGGTCATTTCCTTTTAACTTATGGAGACATCGGTGTAACATTTTTAGATTTTTCAAATGCCTAGATTTTGGTTGCAGTTTTTCTGTCTTTGTTGTTTTTCCACAACAATACATTCATACAGGGTGAGGAAAAACAAATGACTTGCACAGTTTTTTGTTTACCTTATTTCTTAGATCCGGCTCAATCACATTATCATGTTCTCGCACCTTGAATCTGTAAATATTGATGTTCTTCAAAAAAGCTTGCAGCCTTTTGTTCTTCTGTTTAAGAAGAGGGACAACAAACTGAATTGAGACTGCATGAGAGTTCTCTTCATTATACCATTTCAGAAAATTCCTCTGATAACATTTCTGTGTGTTACTGTCTACGTAACTTTTCACTAAAACTTCAGTGAAGTATCCGGATAAGTAAAAATCTCAGTATTCTGATAGGAACTAGAGGAATATACTGAGAATCAAGAAAATGCAGAAAGATAACTACCCAAGTAATTTGTGGTACTCGAAACCTCTCTCTCTCGACACTCGAGCCTAAACCAACTAAACCCTTGCATACCTTCATCCTTTCCCTAACTTGGTCTAATGCTGAAGATAGGCAGCTGTGGCAATTATTTCTCAGGCCACGAGGACTGGGGAGTCTTAAGAATATTATCCAACCAACCATAAATTTTTGCGATCCTTAACTTTTCTTTTGTGTAGGTAATATCAGGGACAGATCCTGTGATGATACGTGCTAAACTAAGGGCAGCACTTCCACATGCACCAGAGAAACAACTTGTATGACTTCGTGATTTTTAAATTCCAGTTTATGTGAAATAGTGGTAGTAGCAGAATACTAATCTATAGTAATCTTTCAAATTATCAGTTAAACTAGAAGACATAATATTGGTACATTCAGCGAATAGATGAAATAATTTGTCCTGTGAGCTATAATTTTTGGCTTTAATGCATATTTATGAGATTGGTGAGGACTTGGACACCTCGTTTTTGTAGTCTCTATAATGACGTAATTTCTAAGAATGTCCATCTTCCTGCTTTGCCACTTTCTGGGCGTTGAGGAGGTTTTGCCACAGATTTGTGGTTAATTTTATTGTTAATACTGTCTCGCTGTTTTTTGCACATATTTTTGCCGACCTCTTGTTAAGTTCTTCTTTAATTGAAAATATGAAGGCCTGAACCATTTTAGGTTAGATGCTTCCTATGCTTAGCTTTATTTCTTTGATTTAAGATAAGAAGACTGTTTCTTATATATATTTTTATGGAAAAAAGAGGAAGAAGAAGAACGGTTTATTGTTCCCTTGAGCATCCAGTTAATACGAAGTTTTATATGTCACACACTTTATGCTGCATTTATTGTTTTCACTTTTCCACCATTGTCATAAAGTATGAATATAGCATAACTAATTGGCAATGCTTTTGCCTTGTACAGTATGATCCTGCTATTCTTCACACATCATTTGCTCGCCTTTTGGGTCACCCGAAACTTCCCGGATCGGTACTGTCTTAGCCAATGTTTATTTCAGATGTTTCTTGCTTTATTTAAGTTGAGATTCAGAAAGAACGCAGTAGTCGTTCCCATATACATGTCGTTTGAGTTTAATGAGAATTTGTGATAATATTTAGCTCTATTGAAACGAATCGAGTGTTAGGCGATGGAGACATTTTTCTGTGACTACCTTTTCTTTTTTGTTATTGCAGCTTCATAGTAGTTCTGATGAACTCCAACTCTTTCACGAGCTGGTTGTTCGCTTGAATAAACAAATCCATGGATTTGAGGTAAGTTCTTAAATCTTAATCTCTATCTTTTCGTGTATTTGTTTGTATTTCAAACTTAGCTTACTGAGCTTGGGTTGGGTATAATCTGGATTACATAAGGAGAATCTATACTTTACTAGTACATGAAGTTGAAAACTGTTTTCGGGTACTTTCAACAAGTCTGAGCTGTACCTTTAAAGTCATTCTGTGAGTTGTAATCTGAAAATAGACGGGCATAGTGGAATCTGTGCAGAATTCGTTACATAAGCTTCAATGAATATAAGGAATTGAAATTTGCAGGCAATGGTCTCGGAGCTGTGGTATGTGGAGGAATATGATGTTTTAGCTCTGGCTTTGAATGGAAGAATGAAGATTCACAAGTTCCAACTTGGCTGCTCCAGCTCTTGAGATGAACAATCTCAATACCACCCTTGAACTTATCACGCAAGAGTTTTCTTATAAACAACCCGCAGTTGATACTCACTGCCGCACGGCCACCCGCTCGGAATGATGCAGACTTTCTCTTGGACGTGAAACTTGAAAGGGTTATAACGTTACAAGGAGCTTTCTTGTAAATGAATAAGGGGCTTACTGAATAGATAAAGATGTGTAATATGTTATAAAAGTTAGATTCCTCTCTCTTGAACTAAAGAAAATAACAGGGAGATGAGGTCATGGGCGTTAGTAATGCGGCTGTGTGGCTGACATGCTCGCCGACCTCAGTAGTCAATGGGGCAATCCTCGTGCAGCCACACGCTGGGTTTCATTTGTTAAATGGCAAATTTTATTCAATTACCAAAATTAAACGAAAAAAAAAATCAATCAAATTTCAACTATGGATAATGACAATAAATTGTTATATTGATGATGTGGCATTGGAGGAAGTCTAGTCATGAGCCAAGCAAGCAAAATGAGGGGCGTTGAAACTGAAATGGAGAGGAAAGGACAAAGTGGGGAGAGTGTCCACCATGCTTCCGGCAGGTCGCCGGCCACGTGCTCTCTATACGCTGAGCCTTCCCTTCCACATGCCCAGATGAGTCTACACCAGCCCTAATTTTCCACCCCTTTCTTCTATTTCTCTCTTTCTTCACCTCACCACTTCTCTTCTAATCTCTCCCTGCGCAGGTATGGCCTCTTATTCAAGAACAATTCTTCTGAATTTTGTTCTTTTTTCTTTGTTCTTGTTCGTTTTGTTACTTGGGTCTGTTTTTTTCTGTAACTTTTGTGGTCAATTCGCCTCTATGCTGTTGCACGATTTCTCTTCATGACCAATGATGTGATCTTAGTTGTTTGATTGATATGAAATGGGATTCTTTGATCAGGTGTTGAGTTTTAGATTGTCTCTTCGGAAAAATTTGGAACTTTGAGATAGATTCATGGGGTTTATTATAATTGCAGAACTCCGGCTTTTCTCTCGGTTTCACTTGCTGTAGAAGATCATGGTCTCCGAGGTTCCTTCACAACCGGTTATTGAAACTGATGTTGCAGTTGTGGCTTCTGTATCTAGGTATCTCTTCATGATTCTTAATTGTAAAACTTACGTTGTTGAATGTTCTGAATGTCTGAAATGCATAAACTAAACAATTACTGCATCGGTGATAGAATGTGGAATGCATTTGTTGATGTGCTAAAGATAATGTTTTTGGGTAATTTGTGGTGGTTTATTTAGCTGTATAAAGATTGAAGTTTAAGCTGATTCTTTATGCAGGCAATGTCCTGGCAAAAAAAATCCGGTGAAAGTTCCTAAGAAAGTTCATAAGGCAGAGAGGGAGAAGTTGAAGCGAGGGCATTTAAACGATCTCTTCCTTCACCTCGCAAATGTCCTTGGTAATATGCTCCCAATTTCCATTCGGTAGAATATTAAGATGTTCTCAGCTGTTCTCATACTTGGAATGGACGTCTGCAGAGCTAACAGTACCGAACAATGGGAAGGCGTCCATTTTGTGTGAAGCAAATCGACTGCTGAAAGACTTGTTTGGTCAGATTGAGTGCCTCAGAAAGGAGCATGCATCGTTGTTGACAGAATCTAGAGATGTAAGGCTCTTAAATACAGCATTACTCTTTCTTAGAATTGAGAGGAAAAGGTCTCTAAATAGATGACAAATTGCACGAATGATCACACAGGTTGACATTGAGAAGAATGAGCTGCGAGAAGAGACTTCTGCTTTAGCATCTCAGATTGAGAAGCTGCAAAGTGAGTTACAGTCAAGGGCCGTGCATTCTAAACCCGACTTAAATACCACCCGACCACAAGCACATTTCTCACAGGAATGCCTTGGATTGCCTGTTATGGAACCCACAATGCAGCAAACACACGCCGTTATTATCGTCCCCATGCGACCGGATCTCCCATCTTATCCAGCAGCGGATGCAACTCAAGCCCCAACAATGGCTACCTCACATGTAAGCAAACCACATGCCAGATATCCAACACAAGCAGATTCCTGGCCTGCTGGGCTTCTCAAGTTGTCACAAACAACAGAACAACCAAGTAAAGAGTTTTTAACCATTGGTTGCAAGAGCATTACGGATATTATGGGTTAAAGAGGCCCTGAAAGAACTGAGAGCTGATCTTTGTAGTGACCTCTTTTGTAGATAATTTGTAGTATAAATTTGTCTCTAGGATGTTGGATTCGAACAAGTTAATGAATCTGCAACTGGGTTCTGTATCTTCTCCGAAAAACACTGCTTCATTTCCCTGTTTTTCAAGCTCATTCAATCTGGATGTATTTTTTTTTACCAAACCTGCTAAATTATGAAATCAAAAAGGATATTTGGAAGGTGTGAACAAAAATAGTTGCTCAGATCTTTAGGTTATCTTGGGGTATACAAAGCCGACCAGCAATGTCACAGTGCTCGGAGCTCAACCACAAGCTTTTAGGGAATCAGAGCCCAAAAGAGGCAATGGTGTGAGTTCGAGAAGGCGGCTTTACTTCACCTCCCTTGTCATTATGTGCAAACTTTTGTTCGGTGGACCCTTAACCTTCACCATCCCCAAAGGGCCAAACAGAGAACAAACAGTTCAATTTTCTTTAAGTTTGCGACTATTGTTCTAAATTAAATAGATTAACATCGCATCAAAATTCCTCATATTCTCCTGTTCTTTTGTGTATCTCTTTATTCCATCCTCCTTTTTTCTCTCTCTTTTCCCACTGAAAAGTTTGCAAGACTACACAGTGTGTATAAAGTAACAGATGGTGAGCATTTATTGGCTAGTTTCTTTCTGAGCAAAGTTCCAGCCTTTCCAGTCACTCTCTTTCTGGGCTACCGACGCAAGAGCATTACGAGAAACAAATAATCAAGAAGCTTCAGACCAGACGGTGAAAGGGAAAATTTTCGAAATGGGATCTGGAGCGGGCAGTTTCTTCAAGGTCATCCTCAAAAACTTCGATGTTCTGGCCGGGTATGTCGTTTCTATCCTCTTCCTTTAACTTACCGCTTTGATTCTGATTATTAGAGAGGAGGGGTCAGTTTTTTTTGTAAAAGGTCGACCTTGCTAGGCTGACAAGAAAACTTACGAAGACAATTTCTCTATTAACACCAATATCATCTACCCCATCTCCCCCGCAAGCCCAAGATGATGTTGTGAAGTCATTTAGCTTGAGGAATAGACAAATGCTTAGCGAGCAAATTAGGTGGAAGGAATAATCTGAAACCCCAACTGCTTTGCCAGTATCTTCTCATGAATGAGCTCTATAGGCTTCATTTGAGAAAGAAATTAAATGCTGGGTTTTGTGCAAAGACTCCTGTCCCAATTGTATCATACCACAACACACAATAAGAGGACCCATGTGCTTTGAAGAAAGATTCCAAACACCCCAGTTGTAGACTGAGCCAAGTATTCTGATACTATTCTAGGCCATGCCATCAGTTTGTTGTGGCAAGAGCTCCTGGTTTGGATGTTGGAGAATTGAGGCCTGGTCATTGTTAGGTACTTAGCCAGTAGCCCAATCAACCATAAACTTGTTTTTATTAGTGGATCTTGAGTATAAATGGTTTGAGAAAGATAAAGAACATCCATCACCGTAATGTAGTTTAAAACCAAGAAAGTAGCATACTGATACAAGAATTTGGAGAGCTATAGTCTGCTCAACTATGAAATGATGACTTGGACCATAACTTATGAACATTTATTAATTGAAATTTCATCAACATGCGCTAAAAGAGTAATAGAAGTATGAGTAGACTTTTATCTCTCAAACTGGACTCTACTCTTGGAGCTTGACAATGACAGTATAAGGCATTGTTTGGCATACACATAACACGTGCAATGTACCTGTCAACACTACAAGACCAGCTAGTTGTCTTGTTTCATATTAGCAATTTAGTCCGTAAAGAAGTCTCTGTTGGTAGAGGTTTTATGTGAGATCCCATATCTGTTGGAGAGAGGAAAGAAGCATTCCTTATAAGGGTGTGAAAATCTCTTCTTAACAGACACGTTTTAAAATCTTGAGAGAAAAGCCCAAAAAGGACAATATATGCTAGTGGTGGGCTTGGACTGTTACACCTTAATACTTGGGGGGTTCTTTTTATAGTTCAATGATTAGTTTTCAATTGAAGGTACTTCCAAAATCATAACAAAAGCATTTACCATGCACAAGACCTCCTGAGAGATCAGACATTATGGATGTGTGCAAACATCAACTTGCTTACAGAGGTGCTATATGTTTGTAACTAAGGATTTCTATATAAGACACAAGATTAACCTTCATCTCCAGAACCAGAATTCAAAGATTGACCTGAAATCTTTGTACTGTTCCAAGTAGAAAACCTTCAAGATCAAGCGATTTCACTGTTTAAAGCCCAAGACTAAAAAAAATGTAATTTGACCAGTCAAGCTTGACTGTAATTTTACAATGATTTTCTATTAAGTAGAGGGGGATGGAGAAACAAGCATGGATATCTTGATAATGTATGGACTGACTAGATCAAGAATTAGTCTATCACTCTAATACCCTTAAAGAAGATCTAGTACAAAAATACCAAGAGAGTGATGGCTAATCATTGAGAAAAGTTCAAGGACGATTGGATTTAGGCGAGAAAGACGAGACTTCCATACACCTACCGTGGTTTTCTTTCCCCACACAATTCAAACTATTTTCTGATTGCTATCAAGCGCTCAACTGCAAAATTTTAACTTCATTCATTGGTCTCATTTGCAGGCCTCTGGTTAGTCTTGTTTATCCTCTGTAAGTCGTTCTGCTTCCCGATCTACTTTTCTATCCATTTCATTAATGATACCTTTCGACAGTCAAAATCTCGAAATTGTAGTGTAATATTTGCTATTTGGCAGATATGCGTCGGTTAGAGCCATTGAAACAAAGTCTCATGTGGACGATCAGCAGTGGCTTACTTACTGGATCCTATATTCTATGCTCACCCTGTTCGAGCTTACATTTTTCAAAGTTCTCGAATGGTAAATCTTGAATAGAGCTTTTGCACATTTTCGTCAATCCATGCTTTTTTGATTCAAGTCTGAACGCGGGTATTAATTAGAACTAGTTAAAATCCACTGATGACTTTAAATCTTTACAATAGGATCCCTATATGGCCTTATGCAAGGTTGATTTTTTCATGCTGGTTGGTCATTCCATACTTTAGTGGTGCTGCATATGTGTACGACCACTTCGTCAGGCCTCTATTCATCAACAAACAGACAGTTAACATTTGGTATGTTCCAAAGATGAAGGAGTTCTTCAGCAAGCCCGACGACATCCTAACCGCTGCAGAGAAGTACATTGCCGAAAATGGTACCGAAGACCTCCAAAATGTCATCAACAGGGTATAATACACTCTCACTCAACTCTCTACTGGTTTCTTTAAGCCACAAAATATGATTGTTTTTGTTTCATTTCTGTAGGCCGATAAGGCTCATTCGAGTAACCGTTACATGAGCTATACCGAAGATCACTCGTACGAGCATTGGCACTGATCTGTATCAAAGTAGGAGGCTGTCCGTTGATGCTGTGTGGTAAGTTTATTTATATGCTGTTGTGAAATTCTGTGTTGTTCATAGGAAACACTGGGCGGCACTCTGTAAGTTCCAAGTAGATGGTTTATAAGTATGAGTTCTTCAAGTTTAGTATCATTTTGTGTTCTTCCTTCCACCCTTCCCATCTCTCAGGACCTAATTGAGTATGCATCACTCTGTTTCTTTATCAAATAATAATTAGTTAATAAAAAAGAAGTAAAAAATTGTGTTGTCATGATCCAAGGGGAAACATTCATTGAATGTTTCCATCTTTTGAGTCACATTCCAACTATGGTGTATTATACACTTCTGGACACTCAGATTTACAGAACTAATCAAACCTTAATTATGATTACTCAACCTTTTAATTTATATATTCGCAACTTGCTGATATTAGAATTGCAACTTTCCTGTTTGAAGGATTATAAACAATTCCAAAATACCCTATTGGTGTTCATGATAAATTAATCATGGATTTCATTTTGTTAATGAGGTAAGCAAATTAAAAGCATATCTTCTTCATTAACACAAACAAATACCTCATCAGAATACACCAAATGTTGACAGTAAACAGAAACTTACTTACTTCTTATTCCTTTATCCTTTTCAGTAGCTATACAATTGAATCGACTGCCTGAGTACCTGAGTTCTTGATATTAGAAGGGTCCTTTTGAATGCTGGAATAATTTGTATTGATTCAGTTAATATTTGTACAACATTTACTAGCGGTGGGCTTGAGCTGTGATAAATGATATCAAAGTTAAACATGGAGCGGTGTACAAACAAAGACGACGGTAGGTGGGGGTGTTACAAAACGAAAAGGGCAAGTTGACGTTGCCTAGAAAAGTGGGTTTTGTTTTTCTTAATCTCAAATCAAATTGCAGGTAATTTGGGAAGGTAAAATAATAGTTTGATGGGTTCGATGCATGGAAGGCAGAAGAAAAGATGCTGTTTGTTTTGATTTTGTTCAAGTGTCTCCACGTGCAACTCTGTTTGTTGAGCTCACATTCCAAAGCAATGCAAAGCAAAGAAAAAGCATATAATATATAATGAATGAAGAAGACAAATGTTAAGCATATGCAAGAAGGATGAGTACAGAATAGAATAAGGATGAACTTTGGAGGCCTAAGTTGTTAGTTTTTAGATGGGAAGCCAATCCCATATTCATTCATTAATTCCTCCTGACACGCTCTTCGCTGTCCTTTCCCATCCATTTCATGTGCCCCGCGATGCTTGCTGACCCCCTTCTTTTTAATATCTCTCCTTCTTTTATCTAAACTACATCTTCTATCATCGTTTACAAGAGAAGATATTACGTGTCCTCTCTCCGATCTTGCGCCATTTCTTACCATTTTTTATGGGTGAGAAAGCGGGCGCTCGATAAGAATGGCTTACAGGCAGACTTGACTGAGTGGCGAAGAGAAGATATTAAGTAAGAATACTCTCTGAATTGATACGCGATATGATTTGGAATCATACCACTGTGAAGGTCGTGATTGAATTATTTTAATTTTAAATTAATACGGGAGGAGTGGAGAAGTCAGATCCACGTGGTGATGAAAATTGATGTTGATTGGTGTCTAGGTTTTTCCAAATGATTTAGAGACACAAAAACAACAACATTTTATTAATTTATTATTATTAATTTAGTTTGAGTGTTCATTGAAAAAAAATCCAAACTTTCTACGTCGTCTCTGTATCAGGGTTTTGTTTATTGCCATCTCAAAGATTCTCAATTATTATCCATCAACTTGCCCT